AGAAGAAAAAAAGAAAGGTTTTTACATTAAAAAAAAAAAATGGAACTTCGACTTCGAGATAATAATAATATGTACTTGAACTAGATCTAAGCCGTCGAATAACAATTACTCCAATTAACGTAAAAACCGCATTATCATTATATTAATATTATGTACTATCATTTTTATCATTACATATACTATCATTATTATCATTACACGTACTATCATTATTATCATTACGACATGTACTGTCATTATTTTCATTTCGACATGTACTGTCATTATTATCATTACGACATGTAGGCCCTACTGTCATTATTATCATTACATGTACTATCATTATTATCATTACATGTACTATCATTATTATTATTACATGTACTATCATGTTTATCAGTACATTTTTATCATTACAATATGTACTATCAGTGTTATCATTACGACATGTACTATCATTATTATCGTTACGACATGAACTGTCATTATAATCATTATATGTACTATCATTATTAGTAGTACATGTACTATCCTTTTTATCAGTACATGCATTACATGTACTATCAGTATTATCATTACAATATGTACTTTCATTATTATCATTATGACATGTACTATCATTATTATCATTACAATATGTACTATCATTATTATTAGTACATGTACTATCATTTTTATCAGTACATGCATTACATGTACTATCAGTATTATCATTACAATATGTACTTTTATCATTACAATATGTACTATCATTATTATCAAATGTGCAGCCATCACCACCTCCCACCTCTGTCCCGATTCCGTCTATGTCTGTCAGAAAAATAACAACACGGAACCGACTAAAACAACTCACTGCTCTACCTACAGTCTACACACACAACTTCAAAAAGAAGCGAGCGGCAACACACAGAAAAAAAGAAGGGCAACATAAAATCAAGCACAACTGAAATAAATGAATGAAACGGAGAAGTAAAAAAAGACAGATGAAAATGAAAGTCACGGGAAATCTTCACAAAGGCCAGGGAGGCTAGGAGCAGAAAACAACTGAGACAACTGAAGAAAAAAAGAATGTTCGCACCAACCAATCAAAATACTTGAAACAAAACTTTTTAAAGTTAAAAAAAAACAAAAAACCATTAAGCAAAATAAATAAATGAATAATAAATAAATAGATATCAAATAAAAACCAAACAAAAACAAAATAAAAGCCTAAAACAAAACAAAAAACAAAAAACTCAGTGAGACAAGAATAAAAAAGGACGCCCTTTCCCCCCGGATGAAAAAGTGGGGGTGTGGCAGGGGGCGTATCCACTGCACGACAAGATGTTGACAACACAGGTAGGTAGCTAGGTACGTAGGTAGGTAAGGTGGATGGAGGAACACAGTTAATTCTTGCCCTGGGCTTTTCTCTTCTTCATCCAGTTGAGTCGGCTGCGCTGCGCCCAGGCAAATATCTGCTGGCGCTGCCTCTCGGGGATTTGAGACAAACTAGCCTTCTCCTCCGCCTCCTCTGTGAAGCATCCCCCCCACACAATGGGTGGGTGGGTGGGTGAGGTGTGGGTGTGAAGCAAGGGTTGGGAGGAGGGAAAAAAAGAGAAAGAGAGATGGAAGGAAAAGGCACACAGTTAGTAGCATTAAAACACGCACGCAAACACACACACACAAATTATAATTTTGGCTGCTGCTGCTGCTGCTGTAAGTCTACGAGCAGTCTGAGGGGAAGCCGTGGAGGGAGGGGAAAGGGGGGGGGGGACTGCACCCTGTATCTAGGCCCGAGACCTGGACACACTTTCCCCATTGCCAGTGACAGATCTAAGGCTCCCAGAGAGCAGATTATTTTAGTGATAAGATGAAGTCAACGCGGTAGGGTTTTTTTTTAAATTGGTTTTAAAAAATATATACTGGGTGTGGGGGGTATCCGCCTCTTGACAAACAACCAACAAATAGATAAATAAATGAATAAAAAAGAACCGTCCAAAATCTATTTTAAAAAGTAAAATAAAATAAAATAACAATAACAAAACAAATATTTTAAAGCAATAATTATGCTGTCCGTCAGCATCGGAACACGGGGAACGGGTAAATAGGGGTATGCGTATAAATAAATAATATAATTATAAAATGACCACTGCTGCACTAGTTCAGCTCTACGCTCATGTCTTCCTGGTGAGTAATCGGCTCCACAGCCGCTCGAAACCCAAATGACGGACCTATGATGAGCAAGAAACAGATTCTTTTTCTCATGACGTATTCCAGAACTAGATTTTGTTCCGAAAGCCCCAAAAACAAAAATGTTAATAAAAACAGGGAGATAGATAAAGGAAATGGGGGTAAGGTTAAAGGGGTAAAAGTGTACAAGTAAAATATACATGTATTAGGGTTAAAAGGGATTAATTTTAAAAGGCTGGGAGAAGGAGGAAAGGGGGGGGGGGTGTAGATCACCTGAGCACCAAAGATTTGAGGCCAGAAGGGGGAGGTTTGAGTAAATTGATACAAATATTCATATATGCAAATGATGTCATACGTGTGTGTGTGTATAATACATAAACGTGGCAAAATACATGAGATCACACACATACACATGTACTTACAACCACATGCACAAGGACAGTGGCGGTGCTGCAAAGCTGCATGCTCTCTCACTATATCTGTCCGTCTGTCTTTTCACACACACACACACACACACACACACACACACACACACACACACACGTATCAACTTCAACTCCACTGAATGGGGGGTGTGTGAGTGTGTGTGTGTGTACGTATGTGTTTGTGTGTCTGTGCGAGAGAGGAAGAGACAGACAGAGAGAGAGAGAGAGAAAGAGAGAGAGAGAGAGAGAGAGAGAGAGAGAGAGAGAGAGAGAGAGAGAGATATATACGCGTTTACACTGCCAAACACTTACAAAACGAGCCGAATACAACTCGAACACACACACACACACACACACACACACACACACACACACACACACACACACACACACACACACACACACACACACACAATTAACACGCAACACAACAGCCCGTCTTAAACATGACAATAAGTAACTTTTGATATTGTGGAAAACCCTTCACGTTGCCTCCGACACAAATAAGATCATTTGGGAGGCCGGCAGTTTCGACCTCATCTGCATCAAAGCAGACAGACAATTACAAAGATAGTGCAGACAAAAAAGTCTTCCCCGTCTAGGAATCGGACTGGAATCGTGCGCGTGCTGGAAGAACAGTTAAAACAATACCGCATACAAGGCGGTTGTACCAGCCTGCCACTCTCAACTCGTGAGTTTGTTTGTCTGTTTGTTTGTCTGCTTGTTGGTTGGTTGGTTTCTTTGAGTAAAGAGAAGAATATCTACATAATGATCATTTAGTGCTGGTAAAAAGTAAGACAGAAACTACAAAACGAAAGGAAAGAATTAGGACCTACCAGTGACGCTCTCCAACCATCAGCCTAGTGATATGAGTATACAATGCTTTGAGCAGACTATATTATATATTTATATAAACAGCGCTTTGAGATTAAGATGCTGAAAATCTACGCAAACTATTCGTTATGTAAGTGACAGCATGGATCTACGTAAAAGATGCTCTGAAAGGACGACGCAACAGATATATGTAAACGATTCCCTGTGTAAATGACACCATGGTTCTCTGTAAACGATGCTTTGTGTAAATTACAACAGGGATTCGAGTAAATGCTTCTTTGTGTAAATGACAATATGGATCACAGAAAACGACGCTTTGAAAATACGATAACGATGCTTTGTGTAAGTGACAACATGGAGCTCAGTAAACGATGCTTTGAAAAAAAAACCCCGACGATAAGGATCTGTGTAAATGGCAATGTGAATCTCTGTAAACGACGCTTTTTGAAATTGCAACATGGATCCGAGTGAACGACACTTTGTGTAAATGACAAAGTGGATCCGAGTAAACGATGCTTTGTGTGAATGACGCACGGGAAGTGTTTAAACAACAACAAATGTACATAACACTCGAGATCATTGTAAACGATGCTTTGAAAAGACAACGTTAAAAAAATCGGTGTATACAATGCTTGGTGTGAATGAAAATATGGATCAGAGTAAACGATGTGATGTGTAAATGGCATAATGGATTTGTGTAAACGATGCTTTGCATAGACGACACAATAGATCTGTGCAGACGGCGCTTTGACAAGGCCATAGTACAGATCTTGGTTAATAATGCTTTGAGTAAATGACAATATACGGATCTGCGTAAACAATGCTTTGTATGAATAACAATCGGGAAATGAGTGAGGAATGGTACATGTAAATGACATTCGAGATCTGTGTAAACGATGCTTTATGTAAATGACATTATGTATTCGTGAGAACAAAGCTTTGTGTAAAAGACAATATGTGTCTGTGTAAACAATGCTTTGCGTTGACGACACAATAGATCTTGATAAACAATGCTTTGAGACCACACCTAAGCTGTCATAACGATGTTTTGTGTAAATGACAAAATGGGTCTGCGTAAACGACGATACGGATCTGTGTAAACGATGCTCTGTGCACGTGGCATTACTGATCTTAGTGAACGATGCTCTGCGTTGACGACACTAACATCTGAGTAAACAATGCTTTGACAAACGACACTATAAAGCTGTCATAACGATGCTTTATGTAAATGGCAATATGTATCTGTGTAAACGACGCTTTGTGTAAATGGCAATATGGATCTGTGTAAACGACGCTTTGTGTAAATGGCAATATGGTTTAGTTTTAGTAAGTATTTTACGGCACTTGCAACACAATAAGGTCATATAGGGCAATATGGATCTGTGTAAACGATGCTTTGTGCAAATGACAAAATGAATCTGTGAATACGAAGCTTTGTATAAATGACAACAAGAACCTGTGTAAATGACAATATGGATCAGTGTAAACGATGCTCTGCGTAAATAACACTCCAGATATGTGTAAGGTTGGAAATCCCACGTGTATGGCTACTTTATCTCCCCCTTAAGTACGAGGACAAACAGACAATCAAATAGACAGACAAACAAACAAACAAACATCCACCTGAGACAACGTCCAGGGCTTCAAGAGGAAACTGTTAGTATCAAAGATCAGTCGTCTACCTACAAGAAGTATCTACAGTCAGGAATACCCACGTTAAAATAAATAGAAATTCCAAAAAAATTAGTCAAGAGTACCGACACTAAAGATCACGAGCAGGCGCACACACTACGAAGAACATTACAATAATAATAATATGTCCCCAGTGGGCTATCAAGCAAGAAGTGCCAAGGTGAGTGAAGAAACAATCAGGCTAGAAAGGGAATCCGGTAAAAGTAAAGTATATCCCTCCATCCATTTCGGACTGCTTAGCCTCTCTAGTGCGCAGCGTCCAGGATTACTGCTGCAAGTGTCATTTCTTTTTCTTTTCTTTCCTTTTTT